TGATATTTTCTTAATCTGCATATATACCTCTCATATTCCATGACAACAAACAATTCTATCATTAACTAACCAAAATACACAAATGTCCATGAACTCGTGTATTTTATATGCCTTCCACCTACTCATTCCTGCATATCTGTGTCCTGCGGTCACGTCTGCAATTCGCGTTATCCGGTGTTTTTTATTTGTCCCTTGCATTATCCCCCCCTCCTCCACGGTGTTGCATGACTGGAAATTTACTATGTCATGTTGTCAGCACCCTTACAATCGTGTTCTACCCACCCTGTTCACCTCCCAACATCTGCAGTCCCGCTTCCCAGAGCCGATATTCCGTACCGTCTCGATCTGGTTCCGGATTGTTTATTATGCGGTGCAGAGCGCATACAGTTTGAACCACCTGGTATGTGTTGTAACCGTGGTCAAATTGTACTCACTTCATCCGAAATGCCTGTACAACTGCGCCAACTCTTCACATCTCGCGATCCAATGTCCAATCATTTCCGCTCCTGTGTGCGCACTTATAATAACACTTTTGCATTCACATCAATAGGCATATACAACTATGACAAGAACCTATGCCGCAGAAACCAGGGAATATACACATTTCGCGTACAAGGTCAAATATATCATTTCATCAATGACATGCTTTCTGATGGTTGCCCACCTCGCAACTTACAGCTGTACTTCTATGATACAGACCAGTCCCTTGCCACCAGGTTGCATACTACTGAACGCCTAGACAAAGAGGTTGTAACGGTGTTGATGGAAGTATTATCCGACAACCCTTATGCGCATTTTTTTAAAACATTGAATGAGGTTAACATGGATGGCGAATTCTCCACTGTGCTTAACGGTAACCCTGGGTTGGATCAACGTGTTTACAATCGCCCAACAACCTCCCAAGTTGCTGGTGTGTGGGTTGAGGATGGGTATGAGGGCGTGTCAACAAAAAGGAATATTCGTGTGTATGCACGTGGTGGCCGTTCTCAAAACGTCCACTACTATTATGGATGCTATGATCCGCTGCAGTACCCCCTATTATTCCCACACGGGGAGATAGGGTGGCACGAAGGCATCCCCAAAGGGCCATTTAGCATGGCGACACCTATTTTGGGTGGTGATAGTTCAGTTAACATTAATAATCGAGGGTTTGCCACTGACGAGGCCTTATTTGTGGCGGAGGAAGAACAGCACCAGATAGGTGGGAAACGCCACTCGGTTTCTTGTCGCCAGTATTATGCGTATGAACTACAACTGCGTCATGGGGATACTTCATTTATATTGCATACTGGCCGTTTATTTCAACAATACGTAGTTGACCTATACATTAAAATAGAGACACAGCGGCTTGACTACTATCGCAGCAAGCAGAGAGAATGTCGCGCAGACACATACCAAGGTTTGGTGGATAGCACTGCAGCTGGATTGACCGATATTAGCGACGTTGGCAAGCGTGTAATGCTGCCCGGTTCTTTCATAGGTGGCCCACGCGACATGCAGGGCAGGTACATGGATGCAATGACACTTGTTCAACATTACGGCAAACCTGATTTGTTTATAACCATCACCTGCAATCCTAACTGGCCAGAAATCAAAGATCGTTTGTCCTTTGCTGATGAAGTTCAGAATCGGCCTGAATTGGTTGCCCGTGTGTTTCGAGCACGCCTAGAAGCATTTAAGAAGGACATTGTAACACGGTGTTCGCTGGGCAAGGTAGTCGCATATACGTATGTGATTGAATTCCAGAAAAGAGGCCTCCCTCATGCCCACTTTTTACTCATTCTATCACGCGAGTACAAGCTTTCTACGCCCGAAACGTGTGACAGCTTAATCAGTGCCGAACTTCCTGACCCAATAGCCGAACCTCTTTTACATCAGCTTGTAAAAAAACATATGATTCATGGTCCTTGCGGTGCCATGAATATGGGTTGCCCATGTATGGTGGTCTCACACGGTTCAACCACACCTAACTGTAGGAGTCGGTATCCTCATGCTTTTACGGCAGTTACGTGTTTTGATGAAAACTGTTTCCCTACGTACAAAAGACGAGACGCTGGGATTATTGTACTGGTGAGGAACCATCATTTGACCAACTGTTGGGTCGTTCCTTATAACCCTCAGCTACTACGCAAGTATGATTGCCATATAAATGTCGAGGCCTGTGCAAGTGTGAAATCCGTCAAATACATATACAAATATATTTACGAGGGGCACGACCGAATCAGCATGGCATTGTCAGATACCCGGGATAATGAAGTTGTTGATGAAATAAGTGATTTCCAAAAAGCTCGTTGGGTTTCTGCACCTGAGGCAGCATGGCGTATTTTTGGATTTTCACTTTCAGAAATCAAACCCTCTGTTCTACAGCTGCAAGTACACCTGCCTGACGCTCAATATGTCACCTTTTATGGCAACCAACCCATAACTTATATAACACAGTCTCCCAATTCTGTCAATACAATGCTCACAGAATTTTTTTTCCATGAATGTCTGTAATCAGGTTGCCCAAACACTGAACTTACTATATATAGAATTCCCCCATTATTTTGTCTGGTCCAACAAACATAAAACATGGTCCCAACGCAAAAGAAATGAAGTACTTGGTAGGCTTGTTTCTGTATATCCTATTGAAGGAGAGCGCTATTATCTTCGTTTATTGCTTACTAATGTTCGTTGCCCAACATCCTTTGCAAGTTTGAGATGCATTGACGGGGCTAAGACAACAACATTCCGGTCCGCCGCCGAAAAATTAGGTCTGTTGTCTGGGGATTTTGTTATACGTGCTTCACTAGATGAGGCAGTCGTATTCCAGCTTCCCTCAAGCCTGCGCAAATTATTTGTCACTCAACTCTGCTATTCAGATATTCCTGCGCCACGTGCGATGTGGGATGAGTACAAAGGTTACTTGAGTGAGGACTTAGCCAGGTACCAACCCCAGGCAGAAGCTGAACAGGCAGCATTGAACCTCTTGCGTGATCTATTTGCAGAAATGGGCAAGGATATTGATTCTTTTGGTCTGGTTGACACACCACTGAACATCCTTATGGCTGAGAACAATACTCGTGAATTACTAGCAGAGTACAGCATAGTCATTAACGAAACGGATCTTGATGGGCTTTTATCCTTAAATGATATGCAACTGGTGGCTTTCAATACGATTATGCGCGCTGTTCGCGACTTTGCTGGTGGCGTCTTCTTTGTTGATGGCCCGGGTGGAACTGGTAAAAGTTTCTTATACAGGTGCTTGCTTGCTGCAACCAGAACAAACAAATGGATAGCGCTTGCAACAGCAAGTTCTGGCATTGCCGCATCTATTTTGCCTGGAGGCCGGACCGCGCACTCCCGTTTCAAACTCCCTCTAGATGGTGAATCTAGGTATGTGTGTAATATTGGTAAACAGTCCTCAGAAGCTAGATTACTTAGAGAAGCAAGGTTAATATTGTGGGATGAGGCATCGATGGCAAACCGCAAAATAGTTGAAAGTTTAGATACAACTATGCGAGACATTTTAGATAATAACGCGTTGTTTGGGGGCAAGGTTATGGTGTTTGGTGGTGATTTCAGGCAGACATTACCTGTGGTTCGTTCAGGAACACGGCGGGACTTTCTTGACGCATGCCTGCTACGGTCATTAACAATATGGCCACATGTTTCACGCCTGCGACTCACTGTCAACATGCGCGCTCATGAAGATCCTGCTTTCAGCGAGTATTTGATGCGCATTGGTAACGGAACTGAACCCACCACCTCAACCGACCACATTAAAATACCTTCCAGCTTCCTCCTCCCCTGAATAAATGAAACAACATCTCTGGGCCTTCTCTTTGATACTGTATACCCAGATCTTGACTTATTTCGCCTGGACCCATATGCTCTAATGACACGTGTTATTCTCACAACTAAGAATGCCATAGTTGATTTGATTAATTTGAGTTCCATGGCAAAATTTCCAGGAGAAACTCACACATATCTCAGCCATGATGTGCCCGTCGCGTCGAAGAATATGCATTGTGAGGATTATTTACACACATTATCCCCCTCTGGATTACCGCCCCACAGTTTGAGTCTCAAACGCAATTGTCCAGTTATGTTGCTCCGTAATCTAAATCCATGTGAAGGACTCTGAAATGGAACCAGGTTGATATGCGATTCATTTGGAGATCACATCCTTAGTTGTTTCATTGCCTCTGGTGACCACAGGGGTAAACATGTATTCATCCCGAAAATTCCCCTTGAAATTTCTAAAGACGAAAACTGTGTAATCCCGTTTAGGCGCATACAATTCCCCATTAAAGTTTGTTTTGCAATGACAATCAACAAGTCACAGGGACAAACACTTGACTTTGTTGGTATATATCTCAAGGAACCAGTCTTTTCTCACGGCCAATTGTACGTTGCAATGTCTAGAGCTCGGAATGCAAACTCTGTCAAAATTCTCTTGTGTCCTACAGAGACTCATACACACCTTTCTAACACAACATGTAATATTGTATACAAAGAAATATTATCTTGCATTGAATAATTATCGGATTCATCTTTGCTTCATGTAGCCTCCCATCAAGGTTTGTAATTACCTATTACTAACATTATTTCTACTATTCAAAATATTGTATAATAATGCTTTTTATTTCCCATTTTCCCAGGAACTTTTGAGGAATGGCAGCAGAACAAGCAATAGTGGATGTCAAGCCGGACACCCGAAACTGGACATGCCGACTCACCTTGATTGAAAAGCAAAATGTGCGCACCGCCCGTAATTCACCATTGAAGTTTATGCCTATGATACTCACTGATGCTACTGTAAGTGTTCACCTAACACACATCCTTATAATCAGGTTTGGTAAAGTGAAAACCAAATGGCTTATCTGTTTTTTTTTGTTTTTTGAAACAGGGCACTAAAGTACAAGCCACAGTGTTTGGCGGTGATATTCAGGGTATCGACCAGCGTTTGGCCTTGTACTCTACATATCTGTTCTCTAATGCGTTCGTGAAACCTGTCACCGAGATGCGCTTCTGTGTGGACCATGGGTACCCATATGTTTGGTCATTCAATAGGCGTACTTTGATACGAGATGTGGACGCGCCAGAGGGGCTTGAGTATAGGCAGTTGGCAGAACTTGGCGCTACGCCTTTCCATGACCTCTACGCCAGTCACATGCGCAACGACAAAATAAGTACGCTATTCTACCATATTCTGGAAGCACCATTCATTTTATTTGTAATAGCACTGATTTTGCTTCAACTTTGGATACAGCTATTTTGGCCGCCATTGTTTCCAAACTTCCACGCACCTTTGTGTTCAGCAACGGCAAACAGAGACTTGCCTGGGACGTTGTTCTTGTCAATGAAGAGTGTGCATTCAATTTATTTACTATCACTCCCGCCTTTCATCACTCGGCTTTGCAGTATTCATAAAGAATTAACCACCCAAATACGTGTGCTTGGCAGGTGCATACTTATACCGTTTACATTATGGGAGGAGTTCGTTGAACAGCATGTGGTTGAAATCGACAGACTTCTACATGGTGGTGATCACCCACTTGTTCTCATCAATAGGGTGGCTAACAACCTTTTTCAAGGTTTATATCTCATTTATTCTAACAACCATATTCTGTATGTAAAATATTTTTTTATTTAATTCCTATTTATTGATTACTTCTCAGGGCTTACTCTTGCTACCCGATATGATTGCCATATGGAACTGAACCCTGGTGGCCAACGAGCGCACAGTTTAAAAAGATGGTATGTATAAGTTATCTACCAGTTGGAACCCAAACACACTTGCTCCTTGGTTACTTAATTTCGCACCTCCGTTAATTTGTTTTTGTTATTGCACTAGGGTTGCCAGCAATATCGAAAAAATTAACATGATGGTTCGGAGTAAAGAGTATGATAATGCATTTTTGTTGATTGCACAACCTCTCTCACAACCGCGCACAACCCTCTCATGCCTGGACGCAGAACTGGATAAGGTACACTGCCACTTATATTTCAATGCCTCCCGTCTGTTTTTCCCAGATATAACCACCTTACTGTCAATGGTAACTACACTCTAGCAAAAAAAACAATCTCTTATACTGTCAGGTCCCTGTTGTGTGGGTGCTGGGGAGATTTAGCTTGGCTAATACTACTGATGAATGTTTCTATGCTGGCCGTGACTATTGCAATCGTAAAGTCTATGGTTCAGAAGGCATTGCTTTCGAATGCCTTTTCTATGGACAAAAAAATGGTACCATTGTTCGCCGGTAAGAATCTAAATTCCCATGGCACAACAGGATGTACAAAACAGTTGTACTTACGTTTTTATAACCTGACAGGTTCAGGCTGGAAACCTCACTAACCGATGCTACCAGTTCCATTCCACTCACCTTGTTCAGCACTGAATCTCTTGCTCTTCTGCACTACACGGGCGTGAATCCCAATATAGACTTAGATTTGGATCTCTTTGATACAAAACTTCAGGAAGTCAGTGTTGTAGTAGGGATGAAACGAACAAAGGTTAATGAAGATGGGATACAAGGACATCCTTATAGCGTTGTATATGTAGCGATAGAATAAATTAATCATTCAGCCCCTACAACAGTTGCTTCAACATCCGGTGTGCTCTCCACAACACCCTCACCGCCGACCACGCCAGCTATAGGAGGAAACTTGCCACCCATCACTCCAACCACTTCACCTACAAAAACTGATTCTGCTGGCTCCCCATCAAATCACTAGTGGAAAAAACACTTTTTATGTCGGTTAAAATTGAATTTTTATGTCGGTTCTAGACCCGACATAGATCCCGCCGACATTGAAAGTGGGACGCTTTTTATATGGGGTTGAGGAACCGTTATGAAATATTTTCAATGTCGGTTTACTATATGAACCGTTATAGAATGTAATACAATTCGCTACACATTTAACATGTGGTAGAAGTTAACCGTTATTAAATACCTACTTACAAGTTACAATGACCGTTCTCTATATACCGATTTGCTGATTTGTTAAACCAAAATGCTTTTTTTTTTCACTTTGCATCCATATTTTTTAATACAACAATTCAATATCAATAAATGAAAACATTTAAGAGAATCACATTAACTACATATGATAAAAAAAATCGAGTTTTACAAAAATACAATATTCCGACATATCATATTCTACCAGCAATACTCATCCAAAATTCCATATATAATTTGAAGGCATACAAATAGCATCAAATACAATTACTATAAACTTATAAGGTATCCGTAATTTTCCTAAAAACCATGCCCAGTGCTCTCACAGCAACATCATGTTGATTGAATGATGGGTTTGAATGCAGAATACCTACAAGTTGAATAAAAAACAAACACAATTAAAATTTGTAAAGCAAGGCACATAGAAAAAGTAGAAGCATGAGTAAAAGTAAAAATATAGTGAAAACTTATCAACACCATGTATGAATATACAACCACATAGATAATAGCAACTATATGACTGATCTAATACTCATGATAAGTACAGTCAAATATATATGCACTCAAATAGCAACTATATCTGCACTTAAAACATTCCCTTAACTCATGATAAATAGAGTCAAATATACTTACCATTGGGTTAACTCATATTAGTGTAGAAATGAGATTCCTTTTCGTTTCAGTCATTTGATGAATTTGCAGGAATCTAGTGTGCAAGAAGAATACAATTAGTGTGCCATAACAATAATTAAGCAATTCAAATACTGAATTTATATGCTATATATCCAAATCTGTAAATGAATGTCATATTGTGATCACTTAACCATAACTAATGTTCTGAACATGGAGGCTTAAAACTAATGAGCAGAAAAGAGAAAAAAGTATATTTACTACTAGTGAACATTAATATATGTATATCTCAGTAGAGAGGGTTCTTACCAATTCAATGTCTTCTCTCATGTCATGTGTCTAAATGCTAGTAATCTCTAGGGATTAAAATCATCAGGAACCTGCTAGGATCATTAATGTAAGAAAATGTTAAGTGTAACAAAAACTGACCACTTTTAATGAAAATTGACAGGTACAATTGAGTGAATATCATTTTCTCCCATCCACTTTTAATGTATATCTATAGAACAGTGTTAAAAATGATATTTATAACTTCTAACATCCAATATGTAGGTCAAGATAAATTTCATGGTAGCTCCTTGATAGGTGAACACCATGAAAAATAAACTACTTTATTTCCAATCTAAATATACAATGAATTAAGTTTTTTTAGATAACAATTGCCGAGCCTATTTATGGTGAAACTGACCAAAGTCGAGTTCAATAGCAACAGATAGAAACGAAAAACATGGAAACAAAAACTAAATATAATACTCTTATTGTTTCTGGCTCTTCTTTCTCCAGAGATCGCCAGACATTTTGATGCTAGATTTCCAGGTCATCTTTAACCTGCTTTAAAATTCAAATAGAGAGTAATTTCTTATTCCTTTACCTTGACTGATGATGCCTCCAAAGACTTTTCGTTCATTTTTTACTTTAGGTTCTCATTTTCTCTGTAAACATTTGCAAGTTCTTTTTCCTTCTCTTCCAGTTTGGCCCTTGACAAGCTTACTTCATCATATTCTTTTTCATTGCCAAGGTATCTTGCTTGGGAAAAGCTGGTTTCATCGTTTTCTTCTTAATTTTCTCCTGCATCAAAAGATTAAAGAGTCCAACTCCACTCTTTTATTGCTTCAAATTAAAATATATAAATTTACTTAAAAGAAAATTAGGAAAAGAAGCTGAAAATTATATAGTAAAAGAATTATAGTATCAATGGAGGCACCAAAACCACAGAAGTTCATCAAACTTCACACCAACAATAAATGCATCTTTCCTTGGAGTCTCTCCCAACTGTGACTCAATGCTAGAGATAATCATACGTTCCTTTACCGCTCTGGGTGACAAAACCACATCTCCAACTGCCAATTAGTCAACCCTAAAATCTCCTATAGCTCTACTCGAAATGCTACAGTTCTAATGAACTAAAAATAAGAGTCTGATACATAGTAAGCTCACGAGCTCCTACATTTACACATAGTACACACGAAATTCAGTTTTCTACATAAAAGAGGTTGACTTACAATAGCAAATTTAGATGAGACGTGTTAACGAACAGATTATAGACATTACCAAACCAAAAAATAAACCAATAATAAATCATCTTATAACACATCTCAAATGAAAAGAAATTGAGCAAACTAATAATGAAAAATTAAACAAAAATCAAGCCCTGAGTATTAAATCAGTGGACATCGCCATGATAGAATGTTTTTTACCTGATAGCCCAAAAGAAAGAAGACGTGCCTAGACATCGGCGGTAGGCGGTGGAAAATCAATGACTAGTGACCCGACGGGCTGGTTGATCGGCGGGAATAGTAGCTTCGCGAGTAGGCTGGCTGGTCGGCGGAATCAGTAGCGAAGCTGGTACGCTGATTGATTGGCGGGAATAGTAGCAGCTCTAGTCTTCTCGTTCTCAGTTTCGTCCGAAAATGTCGAATATTTGAATTGCCTCTCTGCTCAGAACGTATGCGTTTTCTTAGTTCCGATGTATCATGACTAGAGGTTATGAAGCAGCGCAGGTTACTCTGCTGGAGAATACGACGGCAGAGTCGCAGACCACCTCTCTATCGGCAGATTAGTTCTTGGCTTCTGGCCTTTTGGGTTTTGATATTTCTAGGGTTGGATCAAAATATCTACTCCGTATTAAAAATGAAAGTTCCTTTAATAACGGTGATTGTCGAACAGATATGGAATGTCACTTGCCAATATTACACGAAATACCGCACACTCAACATAACTTTTCGGAAATAATAAAAAGGACCCCGTTTTTCATCTTTTATAGCGGCTTTATTTAGGACTGTTACAGATAAGTTCAATTATTTATAATCTCACCCCACGCAGGGACACAAAACTTTAAACATTTATAATATTTACCCCGCGTTCACATTTCATATTGGTTAGATATAACCCCATATTAAAAGTCTATTATAAAATGCATTTTTTGTACTAGTGAATACTGCCAAAGAAGATCCAATCCTGGAGGCTAAGAGGAAACTAAACTTCAAAACAATGGATGACGTGTCACCCGGCATTCCTGCTACTCTAGCTCACCCACCTACACAAGGGGGCAAGCCTGGGGATGATACATTGGTGTCCCTTCGATCCAACAAACGCAAATCCACCAAATACTGAAGTCCTCTTCAGTATTTTAAAACATGGCGTCGATGATGGCTGATAAAAAGTTTTCCCTGTACATAAGTCCTCTTCAGTGTTTCAACCTCATCCTCGCATGAAGAATGAGGTTTCAAATGAATTTTTCGGTGGTTGAAATTCTCTTCTACCATACTACATCACCTCGCCCTCCTCCAGAACCACCTCCATGCAAGGAAGCAATTTGGGGTAAGTTTTTATTTTTGTATTATTTTTCCTTTCGTAGTACTTATTTTTATTTCAGTTCGAGCAAATGTGGTTGGAGTATTTTGATTTTTGAAGAACTTTTGATAGGCAGTATTGCATATTTGATCATTTTAGACTTCATCTTGTCTGTTTTGTGTCTAGCGAGTCAGGTTGCTTTGTATGAGTGGCTGACTCTAAGTCTATTCCTAGGGCTTACGATTGAATCTGTAATAGCTGTCTGGATTTTATCTTCTTTTTTGTCTGGATTTTATCTTGCGTGTTTGCTCTATATCAATGAAAACCCGTTTTGATGATCAAAAAACATATGTCTTGATCGATTTAATTTCAATATAATTTGATTTGGTTTGAGATTGAAACAACTTTTAACTCGATATTAGTATTTAATGATTGGATGTCCTTTAAGTGATTTTTATAAATATTTTATTTTTATTATTATAACATTATTACACTAGATTTCAAAACCCATGCGATGCACCGACATCAATAATATGCGAAAATCAAATTTAACTAATCTAATTCTAATGTATGAATTTTTCTTTAAAATATAACTTAAATAGTTGGTTTTATACTTGTGCATATTTACTAATATGCATAAAAGAAATATTCTTGTCTTGAAATATTAAATTGGTTTTAATGAACACACTTATATATTAACAAGTGAATCCCTATAAAAGAATATGTAGAATATTGCAAAACACGTGGATTTATATTTCTTTAGTAATAGGAATAAATTT